TTTGTGTTACTGTGATCTCGCGCTTCAGTATTCCGCAAGTTACGTTATAGAGTGTATGTAGATTTGCATGTTGTGACAGGGGCCTAGTGTGTGTGTAGAGTTTGGTAGGAGCCTAGTGTTTGGAGAGTTGGTGGGAACCAAGAGTGCGGAGAGTTGGTAGGAGCCTAGTTGTGTGTGTGTGTGTGTGTGTGTGTGTGTGTGTGTGTGTGTGTGTGTGTGTGTGTGTGTGTGTGTGTGTGTGTGTGTGTGTGTGTGCGCGTGCGTGGAGAGTAGGTAGGAGCCTAGTGTGTGGAGAGTAGGTAGGAACCTAGTGTGTGTAGAGTTGGTAGGAGCCTAGTGTTTGGAGAGTTGGTGGGAACCAAGAGTGCGGAGAGTTGGTAGGAGCCTAGTGTGTGTTGTGTGTGTGTGTGTGTGTGTGTGTGTGTGTGTGTGTGTGTGTGTGTGTGTGTGTGTGTTGTGTGGAGAGTAGGTAGGAGCCTAGTGTGTGGAGAGTTGGTAGGAGCCTAGTGTTTGGAGAGTTGGTGGGAACCAAGAGTGCGGAGAGTTGGTAGGAGCCTAGTGTGTGTGTGTGTGGAGAGTAGGTAGGAGCCTAGTGTGTGGAGAGTTGGTAGGAGCCTAGTGTTTGGAGAGTTGGTGGGAACCAAGAGTGCGGAGAGTTGGTAGGAGCCTAGTGTTTGGAGAGTTGGTGGGAACCAAGAGTGCGGAGAGTTGGTAGGAGCCTAGTGTGTGTGTGTGTGTGTGTACTCACCTATTTGTGGTTGCAGGGGTCGAGTCTTAGCTCCTGGCTCCGCCTCTTCACCGGTTGCTACTGTGTGTGTGTGTGTGGGGGGGGGAGAGTAGGTAGGAGCCTAGTGTGTGGAGAGTTGGTAGATGCCAAGTGTGTGGAGAGATGCGTGTTGCAACAGGAGCCTGTTCAGAGTTGTCTGTTTTTCGGTTGGTCTGTTCTGTGATGTAAAGAATTGCTCTCTACTTTTAGGGCTGGTTGATGAACGTACTGGCGAAACCACAAAAACAGAACAATACTTTACTTGGACAACGTTTCGCCCTAAGCAGAGCTTTAAAATCCTTTAACGGAAAATAAAGTTTATCCCAATAGAGTCTTGTTCCGTCTTTATTTTTTTATTTCGAGGGTGAGAACGCCTCTTAGATGATAAAAGAGGCGGCGAACCAAGAAATGGAGGATAACATACAACACATCGTAAACTTTTAATGTATCAAATTTTCGCTCAAGAGGAACTTATAGGTTATCAAATTATACTGTTGATGAAGGTCTGAATGAGCGAAACGCTGGTATAATCAATGCTTTACGTTAATTTACTTTCTCTTCCGATTCCTCCTAATTTTTGATAAATCTCTCCCAAAGCTTTCTCTCTCGCTCATAAATTATTCTTTTCTCAACCTCCTCTACACTGTTTTGTTTCCCTGTTGTTGTCAAGGCCTATGCTGTGAATATTTATTAACTGTTAGGCTGTGTTATATACAAATTTTGGCCTATGTATAGGCTATCGAGTACATAGATATTTTCGTAGTTTTGGGGATATTTAAGCTTATTGAAGTGTGTGTGCTTTGACTGGAAGAGCAACGGGAGACTGTTTATATCTATGAGCCAGTGTGTGCACGTTCTGCTGTATAACTGTTAAGATGTGTGGACTAGAATGCTGTTATTTGGCTCTGTGGTTTATGCGCATATTTGATTCTGTGGACTAGAATACGCATGTCTGTGTGAACTAGATTACAAAGGTTTGTCTGTATGGAATATAATGAGCATGTTTGACCGTGTGGAGCAGATTATGCAGATTTGGCTGTGGGGACTGAAATGTGTATGTTTGGTTCCGTATTTCAAGACAATCCAACTATGATAAATACAATGAATGATGAACAATGTACGTAAGCCTCTTAAATCTAATCATCTGAAATTTATATGTTTTTCCTTTCTAAAAATATCTCCTCTCATAATATTAGTGATGAATGAAATATATAAATAATGATATTTAGATTTGGGTCAGGGATTAAACGAAAGGTAACAAAAGTATTTGACAAAAGTGTGTTGGGTAGAGAGGATGGTAGATCCCCTCTTTCTAGGTGAACTTGCGAGCCAGCTCCAGTAGATGAACGTAAAGGCCCATTCCTTTGGGTGAAAGTTGTGGATCGTTCTTCCAAGTAAACGTGAGGGGGGATACGACTTGCCGTTTTCTACGTTCCTCTCTGCTCTTCGCACTCAATGGAGTTAAAAATAAATGAAATTTGTCCATATATACACAATTTTCACTAATGTGCTGACGTTTTCCGAAACGTTTGTGTTGGTCTAGGGTAACGTAAAGACCCAGAGTTACATTAGCAGTAATATCACATCCATAAGTGAATGCACCTTTTGGAGAGAGAACGCGAGCTACTCCCGTTCATTAATGAGACGAGAACAGAGGTTAAGTTCAGTGACAGACACACACTTACTCATCATCTGCTAAATCAGCATTGTCTGTCATTTAAGAATGTCTCACGTTTACGGCGCTGTACACAGGCGGATGTAAACTGTCTGTGTTACCTCGCTTTCCTGCACGATCGCTGAGTGTGAATACAAAAAACGCAAGTTATGGAACTGGCTTTCATCAGGGCAGCACTTCACTCTGTGCAGAGCTTAATCCAGGTCTTCTTGAAGCTCTGTAGAGGGCGATACGTTGTTCTAATTGAAGCCTGTTCTACAACGTGTCTTTTAGTTCACTATTGTCGACAGTACGAGATTTAGTCAACCTCCGCCGCAGCTGAGTCCCAGGCTTATGTTAGGAGGCTTATGGTGGCGGAAAATCTGAGTCTCCGAAGAGGAAAGGTGGGTATTCGGGCCAGTTATCGGGGAGTGTGAAGTACTCAGGTGATGGAAGGCTCGCGCTTTTTGCTGCTGCTGCTGGTGGCGGCGAAGGAGACGGTGATGGGTCCATGTGTTGTACGTCAGCGTGTGACGGAGGCGACGATGTGAGGCCCTCCTCTTCCTCTACACTCGCGACTTCAAGAGGCGTCGTATCTAACCGAGGTTCTATTGCCTGACTTTTGAGGGCTGCATCAAATGTCGCTTCAGGTGAGGGACTCTTGTGTACTATATCAAATGGTGGTTCCGGTGGAGGACTTTTGTGAACTATATTAAAAGGTGGTTCAGGTGGGGGACTTTTACTAATTATGTCAAATGGTGGTTCAGTGGGGGAACTTTTGTGAACCTTTTCAGATGGTTCAGATGGGGGACTTTCCTGTTCAGCTTCAAAGGGTGACTCAGGTGGCGAGCTCTCATGTATAACGTCTAGCGGTGGCAGCATTGTGTGCATACAATACAATTCACTCCTAGGAAGCGGCTGTGGGTGTACAACATCTGGTTTCGTCTCCGTTTGTTGTACCATTTTTATATTCTTTTGTTTGATCGGTAACGGAGGAGTTACAGGAGGACTTTCGGCATCAAAGAAGTTAGGTATTGGTGGAGGCGTTGGTGGGATGTCCTCATCGTCAAAGAAACACGGGATTGGTGGCGGTGTTGGTGTCGAGAGGTGGGATGTTGTGCTCCTGGGTTGCGACTCTGTATGTGACTGTGACAGTGCTGATTGTTGGGTTTCTTGTTCAGCTTCTGCTGGCAAGGGGGTGGGAGAGTCTTGTGGCAGCCTTTCATTCTGAACTGTCGTACCAGTTATTGTTGAGGACTTCTGAGACTGTTCTGAATGGTCTGATTCAGGAATATCGTACTGCGTCGGTGATTCGGACGAATCTTCGTTGGGGAATTGTGGCAGCGGAGGTGAAGGTGACATGTTGCACAAGAATGATAATGAGCTGTCGTGTTGGGATGTGCTGGCGGATGAAGAGCTGTTCTGACGATCTTGTGGGGACTGGGGCGTCAACTGTAAGTTCGGTGATGACGGAGGAGCAGAGTGAAGACTGCCAAGCGGAGAATAAAGACTCTCATACTGGAGCTTGGCCGGGGAGAGAGTGATGGCTCCCTGCTGTCCCACAGATGAGGAAGAGCCTCGTCTACAAACATGCGACGGGGATGCAACAGAACCCGGTGGTGAGGAAGCTGAAGAGTGCTGCTGCAGATCGTTCACATAAATCCATCGGCAGTCTGGAGGAGGTGATGGGGACTTTTTCTGTGAGCGCATCTGCGTGAGGCTATTTATAAGGTGAATGGGTGGAGAAACAGGCGAACTTCGACTTAAGGGTGATCGGACTGGCGTGTTTGGATGCTGAGTGGGCGATGCATCACAGCGGAAATCTGGAGGTGATGGAGAAGCATGATGTTTGATGTACAATGGGGATGTAGAGGGTGAGAAAGTGTCATGCAGTTCGGTCTGTGATATTGGTAGTATGGTTTCTTTATAGCTTGGATCGCGCAGCGGAAGAGTTGATGCTTCATGCCTAAAATCAGGTGGTGGTGGTGATGGTGAGGTTTCATGCTTGAAGTTGGGCGGCGGTGAGGGTGAGATTTCGTGCAGATAATTGTGTGAAGGAGATGAGCTGGTGTTACTAGGGCTGCTGGGAGGAGCTGGGAAGCAGCTCGGCCATTCCATCTCCTCCAGCGGCTTGTACATCTCATTTGTGAGTTTCTCAGTCAAAGAACTCTTAGTATCTTCGGCTTCTTCCTCTTCCACGTGACTGATTTTTGCGATGCTCCACGTAGGGCTGTTTGCTTTATCTGATGCAGGACTCGGAGGAGGCTTTTTATCTTCCTTCGATTTTAGTTCATCCTTTTCCTTTCTTGGGCTTAGGAGTGGCGGAGGACTGTTTGTTCCATTTGATAACCGAACTCCTGGATTATGAGCCCCATTAGGGAGACGAATAACAGGCAAACGTCTTACCCCATTATGTTGACACGAAGAATTATTTCTGGTGCCATTGTGAGCAAAGCGCATGCGTCCACTGCTGGTGTGCGAAGCCTGACGAGGAGTGTTCCAGCCGTTGATAAGAGCAGCAAGTCTTCCTATTAATGCAGCCAACCCCGGGGGCCCTTCGTCCTCCCGGGGGGCGTATCGTCAGACAGTCGTCTCGAAGTCTACGTCGATACAGTCAGGATACTCTGGGGGCTCTGGAGGAGACTCGTGGTGGCCCGGTGTCAGAACCTCCTCGCTGCATCCATTAGTTGCGTTGCGAGCCTGCCGTGTTTTCCACAACGTCCAGCCCCACCAGCCTGACAGCACTGAGATACACCCGACAGCAAGACCAAACGTAAGCCAGAGCCACGGAGACAGAGCCATCAGGCAGGTTACCACAGCTTCATCAGCACCAGATGGGCAATGCCATGTCCCATCACAGAAGAGAGAAGCACTGATACAAGCGTGAACAGCTGGACACTCTGTGGCACATCTTGTAGCCAGCCAGCGGGGCGCCGCCTCCACCCACCGAATATCAACCGCCTTATATTGTTGCTGTTGTGACTGTCCTGAGAGGTAGGCGGGACGACTCAGTAGCACTACCACCAGAGACCTCGCTGCTTCGCCGAGATAATCCAGCGACAGAGGTTCGTTAAAACCCTCAGAGAAAACATGGACTGTCTCAGCTGCACCAGGAGACACACACACAGCACTCAGAGGTCTAGGATTACCTGGCTGGTACACGTGTAGTTCAGAGCTCTGGCATTCCGCAGGTGTTACCGAATCTTCTGATGACACTAGATGACCATGAGCTTCAACTTGCAATCCCCCCCTGATAGCTTTACCAGGAACAGAAACAAGCAAGAAGCGGTTTGCAGTGGGTTGAAGAAGCCACGGGTGTCCTCTACATGGCCCAGGAGGTGGGCGAAGGGCCAGACTTAATGTACCAGCTTCACCTGTGACTATTCTATCTTCTTCACACGCTTCTATCTCAACAAATTCGTATTCCAGTTCGAAGCTAAAATGTGAGAAATCGTCGAACACATCCATACCTACAACAGTAAAGGTAATAGTAAGGGAGGCAGAGTAAGAGAGTAAGGTTGCTGGGAGGTAGAGGCCATGACAGATACAGGCCTGAGGGAGCTCTACACCTGGCCAGGGCCATTCTGAAACCTCAAGACGAGCACCACGGCCTTCCAGAGCATTGGGTCTCCCACATGCCTGCAACGGTGATTCCCGTCCCGGACACGACGAATTGTGAGCATAAAAGTATATAAATGTAATCCTAACTGCCTCGTTGGCTTTGCCTTGGAGGCTATATTTACATTTAAGTCTTGTTGCCCCGAACTTGCCATACAGCAAGTTGTTAGCGGGGGAGGCGAGGAGCCCCTTCTTGCTTCGCTCACTGTTAATGTGTCGGTCGCAGGGCTCAGGAAGGTTAAGTGCCGCTGCTCGCGGTCCTGCGTACACGAACTCGTAGTGCAGACGGAACTCGAGGTCTGCTACCGTTGAGGGAAGTAGATAATGTATGGTGAGTGTCGCAAAAGAAACTGATGTTAAGTAGCTCTCCTGAGGTCCACACGGCCTCGTCCTGTTCCGTCCAGGGCCGAGCTGCTCCCTGTGACACACCCGCATGCCCAAGGGCCCACAAGTGTTCTCCAGCACCTCTCCATCAGCATCTGCTCCCTCGACCAGCATCACACGGGTTCGACAATGGGGGCCGTCGCGCGACGGGGGTTGGGTGTAGATGGACTTAAGGCGGGTGAAATAGAGCCATATTACTTCGTCTGGACGACCCCGAAACTTATAAGAACATTTACTATCTCTTGGCAGTGAATGAGCTACGTTTTCAAAATGACCTCTTGCTGCTTCAAAACTGGAAATTATAAACTCACACTCCTGGTCAGCGTAGAGGAAAGAATTTTTAGGTACAAAAGCCACTCCAACGTCCAGCTCGAATCCAGGGTGAGTACCTTCAGATGAATCGAAGTACATATTGTCGAAAGGGGAAGTCTGGAAGACAAGTAAGAGTTCTGCCCCGCTAGCTGTGATGCGAGACACCTTACCGCCACCACAGAAACGCATCAGCAATCGTCGACTCTCACCCTGAATTTCATAAACGCTGAGAGTATCGCCTACGACGTCGCAATCACCATTCAGCCATAGGTGTAAGTTCCCATCACATGCTGCATCAGTGTGCTTAATATGCACGCGTCCTCGCTGGGGCTGACCTACACTCACCAGGGCGTGGCGACCGTGGGGCACCGTGGCTTGTCTGATCACATATTGGCACGTTACATTACGAGGGTAGATGCCAGGGTAGTTGGGTGACTGCACACGGCACTTACGTCGGTCGCAAGAGTCGAAAATCCGGTCACAGACGGTTCCCGAGCGCGGCACGCCAAGGTACTTGGCGCTGTTCCAAGGACCATACCTAACGATGGACTCAGCCTCCAGCAAGAACTTATACATGAGTCGAAGTCGCACCTTCTTCTCCCCAATAGTGTCGTGCTCCGGCTGAGGCACCTGCAGCGTGACGGTGACGGTGCTGGTCTCGCTGTAATAAACATTATGGTCACCGCTTCCCCCACACCAGAAGCCGCCGATGTGGGGTCGGTGAGGCTCGTTAACGGACAAGTGGCCTTGGGGACACCCGCACACGTGGTGTGACTTAAAGGACCCCAGTACCAAGTCGCGGAAGACAAGCTGCACCAAGTCACCGAAGATGTCTCCCGCCGCCACGAAGGTCATGTAACAGGTGAAGGGAGGCTGCAGGGAGTTCGATTCATGAAGGTCGATCTCGTAACTGCGACCCACCTCTCCGTTGTACGTCACGTTACACGCTGAAATATGACAGAAATATTATTTAACACAGGGAGGAAAAAAAAAGGCTTATGAAGCATGTGAAAACAATAGTCGACACGATATTTGATCCTAAATTTAGTAAGAAGTATTGAATACACAAGAAACACCTATGGTGCTATTAAATATGTTCTTGTAGATCATTCATCACGAACACTGGTGGAGGCTCGATCCTCCGTCCGATAAGTGCGAAACAGGTATGTTACCTGTGATTACCTAATAGTCTGCGTGTACAGCTAGGTGACCAGAAAGTTGCTAATAAGAGAGAAAGCAAGCAAATAAACCCTGAATTACTAAAAATTTTGACAAAAATAACCTTGAGAAAATTATAAGAGATCTGGTCAAACAAATAATTCAAAATTTTTGATTTTACACTCGTGGGAAAGCTTTAAATCTAATTAAAGAAAAACACCTCCAGTTCCTTATATCAAGAGCACTTTACTAGCATCAAGGAACCATACTTTAATGGAATTCTTCACAGAACAATATAGCTTCAGAAATTCTAAACAGGTCCTTATAAAATACTTTGATGAAATTGCGCAAAATAGTAATCGACGTGAGAACTCTGGGTCGCTCTAAAAATGGGTTGCAGTTTGACCATGTAGGTTTAGCGCTTCTTTTTTTTTTATTATCATAATAATCTAAAAAAGGGTTAAGGCAATATCCGCATGTGTCATTCAGCTCAAGAAGTACTGGAGACTCGATCCTCTGTATGATAATTGTGTGACTGACAGGCTACTCTCGCAGCCAGTCAGGATGAGAGAGTAGCCTGTAATGGCAGCCTGTAATAAAAGGGTACTTTAGCTAACAGTAATTATTATTATTATTACTATTATTATTATTATTATTATTATGAACACATGTGGCGTACTGTATTTGTATCATTTTCTCTAAAAAGACTAAAAAAAGGGAATTATATATATATATATATATATATATATATATATATATATATATATATATATATATATATATATATATATATATATATATAAAAGCTTGAAAAGTGTTTACAAATGGTGACAACATTGTAAGTTGTGATACAACTATGTATAACTATGTAAGTTGTGATACATCCTTGACAGTTATTGTTTAATGGTAAAACTTGACGTAATGTATGATAAGAGAGACAATGTGCAGAGTAAGCCTTTTATTAAGAGACTTTATTTTGCTCTGGTTAGAATATATTTAGAAAGCTCGAATACAATTTGGGTTATTTTTGTCCCACTGTTCACGGCCTGGTGGTGACACACGCGTCTCCCGTCAGTGACATCCGAGGGGTGAAACCTTGGCAGGAATCTATGGTGAAGCGTTGAATTTTAAAGATTCTGTTTAAAAGACTTAGGACGAAGTGTTCAACCCTCTTCTGTACGAGTCCCCTGAAGGGAGGTGCTAGTTGTGTTAAGTAAACAGCCTGAGTACAGTGAAGAGCTACAAGAATGTACAAGCATAACTCTAGAAGGGGTTAAACTATAGGAAAAGGATCACTGTAGAAGGGTAACCTACAGAGGATCGTTACAGAAGGAAGCCTACATGCAGAGAAATCCTGCTGAGAAAGAAAGTTACTGATGTAGGGTAGCTGCTATACAAGGGAAATATGGTACACTGCTGAGGGATGAATCTACGGGTACAGAACCACTGTTGGGGATAGAACGTAGGGGTGCAGAACTACTGCTGAGGTATGAATCTACGGGTACAGAACTACTGCTGAGGGATGAATCTACGGGTACAGAACAATTGTTGGGGATAGAACCTAGGGGTACAGAAACACTGCTGAGGAATGAGTCTATGGGTACAGAACCACTGCTGAGGAATGAATCTACAGGTACAGAACCACTGCTGAGGAATGAATCTACAGGTACAGAACCACTGCTGAGGAAGGAACCTACGGGTACAGTTGGGCTTCTCGTCAGAACTGTCCCCGCAGTCGTCACGCCCGTTACAGATGCGGTCCTTGGGAATACAGCGTAGATTCTCACAGGTGTATTCGCTGGGGGGACAGGAGCTGTGTGCGGCCGCACCTGCCGCCACACCAACCATCACCACTGCCGCTGCTGCAGCCGCCGCCGCCACAACCACTGCTCCCGTCGCCACCACCACTGATACCGCCGCCGCCACCACACGTCCCAACCTCTTCATCACACATCGCCACACCCTGGACATACCAACATAACATTAAACAAAATTTACAGATTTACACCTGAAAAAAACAAATGCATGTATAATAGGCACCTGAAGATTTTACAGTACAGTAGAGTACAGTACACACACACACACACATATATATATATATTGGGAATTTTAGACGGATGAGGAACATAAAATCCAGATTCTTCTATATATTTCGGCGTCACAAACTCCATCATCAGTGCTAAAATATAAAAGAACACTTACCAAGTAGAATAGCTAGTCAATTTCCATTTTTTTTTTGCATTTATAGAAGGTATTTTTTTTAAATATAACCGAGTCACACAATCAAACATTAACATTGTAAATGTTTGTATTTCTACCAATTTAAAGTAGACAAATTGTAATTCTAATCGTATTTTTTAGTTTTAGTTATAATACTCATTATTATTTATTATTCATTGGTAAACACTAAACCTCAGTAGATCCTACAAAACCTATGGAAAAGAAAGTATTCAGGTCTGATCCAGGAAGGTTAAGGGTAGCTCAAATCCCTGGAATCAAGAGCCCGTCACCGGCATCAGGGCGCATAATACAGCAATAGTCGCAAAAGACATCCCATCAAGTCGGGTTAATGCATTATGGTACATTACGACTTCGTATCAAGAAGTATAAATAACAGGAGCCCACAGGTTATACCTCAACTTAATATAGTCTTGGTAAGGCCCCATTTAGATTACGATGCTCTTTTCTGGTCTCCATATTACAGAATGGACATAAATGCGCTTGAAATCGTACAGAGAAGGTTGGCGAAGTTGATCCCGTGTGGCTGACATTTTCCCTATGAAGACAGGTTGAAGGTAGTGAATCTGCGATCACCTAAGAGACGGAGAATTATGGGAGAAGCGATGGTAGAGTACAAACGGAAAACCGGAATAAAGGATGTAACTATGGTGGTGAAAATATCTAACAGAAACAGGACTCACAGCAATGCATTCAAGTTGAAGGAATTTTGATTTAGAAAGGAGATAAAAAGGAACTGGTTTGGCAATAGAGTTCTGGGTGATTTGAACAATTTCAGGTATCATACAGGATAGAACTTTTGATAGCTTTACAAATAGAATAGATTGGTGCATGAGTAGTATGAGTGGGTTTGAGCTGGACCTGCCTAGCATGGCTCAAATGTGGGTAGGCCAATACGGAAAGCTCTACCAAAAGCTCTACAGAAAGAATAAGTACAGTATGACTTCATGGTTTTGTGAGGTACTCCCAATATGGCCAATTGAATAATCACACACACACACACACACACACACACACACACACACACAACACACACACACACACACACAAACGTGTCATGACACTGTATGTCATGTGGCATGACACTGCATGTCACGTAAATAATCAATCCATGTTAAATCACTGTAAATATAATAAGCCATGAGGAAAGGATGACAAGAGTTTGAAATTAAGTAAACGAGGCCTGGTCTCAGACCAAGCCGCGGGGGTGTTGGCCCCCGAAACCCTCTCCAGGTATCTCCAGGTGTACGTCATCAAGAACCTGCAGTGTTTCAGAAAAGAGGAGGCAATCCAAGCAAATACGATCACAGGAAGCGCCTGTGATCCAACAAAGGTGCTTCCTGTGAACGTTTTTTCTTGAACCTCCTCTTTTCTGCAACATTGCAAGCTCCTGATGTGATTACAACACGAAAGGCCTAGTGCTATCTTTCATCTTCCCCCGTAGTTCTTTCGCATCTTGCATCTCTTGTTCACGATTTTTGCGAAAGATGTATACATACACACACACCCACACACGCAAACAGACATATTTATCTCACCTTCCCTCAGCCAGTCTACACAAAAAGTGACCTACCATTCAACCTCTTGCTTATGGTTTCTCTCAGTCACTTGCAATAAAAATTACCCACACACCCTCCATCACACCTCATTGTGGTAGCAAAACAGTCATCTCCCTTTTCATCACAATTTACAAAGGCACGAGCCAACAAGACATCTTCCCAAGGGTCCTTTCTCCTTACAAATCTCCGTTTCTAGCACCCTTGGTTAAAATATACGAGGAGAATATTTAAAAATATTCCCCTTTGCCTCCTGCTGACTACAGTTGTATAACCTTGACTCATTTCTCCATTGGTGTTCCCCTCGTATGTTTTATTACAATTTATTTTGGAGCTTTCTCTCTCTCTTGTATATTTTTTCAAGGGCTTTCAGCAGTGACTGAGGCTGTAATCAGGAAAGTGTGTCGTGGTGTACTTATGATACTGTCCCTACAGTGTAGTCAGGACACTGTTATGCAGTGTAGTCAGGACACTGATATGCAGTGTAGTTAGGTGACTTATGCAGTGTAGTCAGGACAGTGTTATGCAGTGTAGTCAGGACACTTATGCAGTGTAGTCAGGACACTTATGCAGTGTAGTCAGGACACTTATGCAGTGTAGTCAGGACACTTATGCAGTGTAGTCAGGACACTTATGCAGTGTAGTCAGGACACTGTTATGCAGTGTAGTCAAGACACTCCTTTGCAGTGTAGTCAGGACACTTATGCAGTGTAGTCAGGACACTGTTATGCAGTGTAGTCAGGACACTGTTATGCAGTGTAGTCAGGACACTGTTATGCAGTGTGGTCAGGACACTGTTATGCAGTGTGGTCAGGACACTGTTATGCAGTGTGGTCAGGACACTTATGCAGTGTAGTCAGGACACTGTTATGCAGTGTAGTCAGGACACTGTTATGCAGTGTAGTCAGGACACTGTTATGTAGTGTAGTCAGGACACTGTTATGCAGTGTAGTCAGGACACTGTTATGCAGTGTAGTCAGGACACTGTTATGCAGTGTAGTCAGGACACTGTTATGCAGTGTAGTCAGGACACTGTTATGCAGTGTAGTCAGGACACTGTTATGCAGTGTAGTCAGGACACTTATGCAGTGCAAACAGGACACTGTACATGCAGTGCAAATAGGACACTGTATACAGGACTCTATATGAATGTACCCACTGTATGAACGTACCCACTGTGTGAATAACTCCACAGTATAAATGACTCCACTGTATGGATGAACCCACTGTATAAATGAACCCACTGTATAAATGAACCCACTGTATAAGTGAACCCACTGTATGGATGAACTCACTGTAGAACTACAGGTGAGACACTGCTTCCTCTAACCTCTCACTTATTTTTGTACTGCGTCATACATGACAAAGAATTCCCTCAAAGAACGTTTCGCTCAGTTTTAGACCATTATCATGTTGCAAAGAAAATGTACCCATAATGGTAAAGGACCTAAATGACTTTTACAGTTTCGTCCTTGATTTGTGGATTAGCTACGACTGATATTTTAATGTAAGTAATTTATATAGTCAGCTCTCACGTACCGTCTGCCTTTTCACTGCAGCAGTGATAGAGGGAAGCTTCACAGTGACAGTTGAGTTTCTCGCGACTAGAGGAAGGAGGATCGAGCCTTCAGCACCCTTTGCTTCAAATGATTCACAGGGAATAATCTGCAGAGTGAAGCAGTTGAGGTAGAATCCACACACAGCTTGAAGAGTTACGATACAGCTCTTGGAGCAGGGAGAGGAGTGGACCTAGCAGCAACTAGCGAAGAGGAGGGGCGAGGGGCTGTGACTCGACCCATGAAACCATAAATAAATGAGTACTTAGCTTTTTACTGACGCAAAATTAAGGTTGGCACAGAGCCTTTTTGCAGTACATTTAGCCTTTTTTTTGGGGGGGGGAGGAGGATTAAATTTCTATCTAGGCCTACCTGCTCCCACACTATCATTTAGGCCGTGCCATTTTTTGTGTATCATTAGTTTTTTCTATTAACTCTCTCCACTAACACTTTATATAGGAACCTTCATGCTGGAAAAGGGCTCTTGGTTCTAGGAAATGGAGCTAGCTACCTTCTCCCTCCTCCTCGGAGCAAAATGGATTATCTCCCTGTTTTCCAAACACCTGTACGACCCTTGCGGGTTTAGAGCTTCTCTGTGCATACACTTCTAACAAGAATCTGATGCCGTAAACGCGTCTCTTTCCATTCCTCTTTTTTACTCCTATTCTTAATCCTCTATTTCTATTCTTCTTTACCTTCCTCCTATTTCTGCACTTCTCTTCAGTCCTCCTCTTCTCCTCCCCCTTCTTCTCTTCCTCTTCCTCCTCGTCCTCTTCCTATTCCTACTTCTGTTCCTCCGCCTCTTCCTCCTCTTCCTTCTCCTCTTCCTCTTCTTCCTCCTCCTCTTTCTCTTCCTCCTCCTCTTCCTCTTCCTCCTCCTCTTCCTCCTCCTCCTCCTAGTGAGGCTGGGTTCCGGAAGTCTCTCTCAGGATACACTGTACTCAGCTCTCCCAACACACACACAAGGAAAGACCAGGAAGCTAAATGCAATTTATCCTTCTGCCTCTGCTGCTCGCCAGGCTCCAATGTGTTTTTTGGTATATTTTTGTATTATACTCTGAATAATATTATCCATTAAACAAATATCTTGTGTTGCTTGAGATATGTTATGATGACACTGTGACCTTGGGCCGTGGGCACACATGCCTCGAATCCTCACCTATGTAGGGATTGGGTATCTCTACCTACGTAGGGATTGGGTATCCCTACCTACCTACGTAGGGATTGGGTATCCATACCTACCTACGTAGGGATTGGGTATCCATACCTACCTACGTAGGGATTGGGTATCCATACCTACCTACGTAGGGATTGGGTATCCCTACCTACCTACATAAGGATTGGGTATCCATACCTACCAACGTAGGGATTGGGTATCCCTGCCTACGTGGGGATTGGGCATACTTGCCCCAAGGTCCTTCCTATGTACCTAGGGCCTAGACCTTACCTCCATTAGGCCACGCAAGACCTGTATGTAGGCCATACATACTTCTACAAGGTCAAAAAGACCCTGCATGCTTATTTTCTTGTGACACTGGGGACCCCTTGGCACTCCTAAATATCGACCTTGGGCACCAAAAGACATCTAGCTGGGATAGGCGATTCTCACTGCA